AAATTTAAATATTTTTTTGCAGAATAAAAATACGAATGATGTTGCCTGGCTGCAGTTTACTGTTATTAATGTGCGCATGTGTGTGTTTGAGTTAAGCACATATCTGTGGCGATGACAGCGACACTCGTCATCATCATCATCATCATCATCCTCATAGTCATACGCATGTGACATACAAAAGTAATTTCAGTTAATTGTCGCAAATAGACGCAAGAACTTGTAATTTTTTGTTATTGTTGTTGCTGAGCACAATGCACTTGAGACCGCTGCATAATAAACATCAACAACAGCAGCAGTCCTCCCCCTGGCACGCCCTAGTGCGCGGCGCAGAGGCGTGGGCGTGATTAGTGGCTCACATTTGCGAGGCTTGGCCCAATTTCATGGCATTTAATTAGCATTTTGTAATACATTCGTAATACCCGCGAGTATTCTGACTTGTTGTCGTCGTCGTGGTTGTTGTTGTTGTTGCCGTTGTACTTTTCATTTTAATTAAATTGCTCGACTGTCCAGCGGTCGGGCTGATGACTGCATGACAAATGCCGCTGAGCACTTTAATTCTGGTGTGGTCTCTGCTTGGGGTTTATTTTATGCAAATGCGATCCAAGCTAATCGTTTGGGGTCATGGGAATACAGCCCCCAATGCATATGCTAAATGGCACAAAAACAAGTGAAAAGGCTGGAAAAACGAACAAATTTATTTGATAAAAAAACTTTTTGTGCACTTTGAGGCAGCTTCAGGTAAATATGAAATTAAAACAGAAAATTTGAGCTAATTTAGTTTTCAAAGTGCACTCAAGCTTTAGTTTAGTTGATAAAAACGCATTGAAAATTTTTCACAATTAGTTTTTAGCTCTCTAATCACTTATGGAAATCTTAAGTTTAATTAAAAATATAAACTTGTTGAAATGTGTTTCTTTTTTGAGTCAGGCTTTAGAAATTTAAACAATATTTTTTTTGTGGTTGTGAAAATGTACGGATTTGGTATTTCTGACCAAGTTCTTGATTGAGCTGTGTTTTAAATAGGCTTGCAATACTACATCTATTTTTAGACTGAATCAATTGAAAATGGGAATTCGGGGTATAATGGTTTTCTGTAAGTGTATGCAACAAGCAGAAAAAGGCGTGGCACGCACCATATATTCTTGCTCAGGGCAACAAGCTGAGCCGATCCGTCTGATCTCGTAAACTACAAAAGCTACAGATATTTGACATGTACGCCTTGTCTATATTCTTCTTCGTAAGAGCCTTTGCTTCCTTCATTCAAAGTAGTTATTTAATTGCAATATAAAGCAACATTTTGTTAGTTCTTTAAAAGTTCAAGAGTTAATACCTCTTTAGCTGCGACCGATACCTTTAATTATAATGTATTTCTGTCAAGTGCCCAGCGCTCTTTAATCATGTCTCGAGCTGAATCATTTCGGCTCGACGCGATGACAAGCAGTTAAGAGCATTTGAAGCGTATACAACACGCTGTCGTTGCTCTTCTGCTGCTTCGTATGCGGCTTGTTCTTTTGAGTGCCGCAACACCTTGAACGTTACCACGTGTCTAGGTAAATAAATGTGTTTTGGTTGGATCTGCGTCACAGTTAAGTGCCACATTTCAACACCTTGAACAATGGAATCCAACTTGCGCTTCGAAACGGACATGCCACACACTTAACCCATTCTTGTGGCAGCAACAAAATGTAGGGGGCGCGTCCTGTGGAATTGATGGGACCCCAGATGATGACCAGGTCCAAAATAAAATAGACACAAACAATGAAAGAGAGAGAGGTAGGGAGAGAGTGAGAGTAAGAGAGAGACATGCGTAAAAGTAATGACTCGAGCGTAGACTAGATGATGACTGTGCGTCTTTTCTAGTTGCCCCATGTGGCAACGGCAGCAACACCCACCATTTGTGAACTCTCTCTCTTTCCCTCCTTGGCCATTTAATTGCCACAAATTAATTAAATTAATGAATTGTTTGTCATTGCATTTTTATGCTAGCCGCAGCCCGCTGGCATTGGCTAACGCAAGACTAGGCTTCAGGCTGGAACTGTGGCACACACTGTAGATTTGTAGCCTTGCCCCTGTTGGATGACAAATGTTACGCTCTGAGACGAAATTGCAGTGATAATGTTGTATTTATTTATTCATCTCATTTATTGCTGTCCACCCAAGCGGGAGGCCTAAAATAATACAGGAAGCACAGCTGGCGAATTAATTTTGTATTGCGAAAACATGAAATTAAATGCTGGATATGCGATATAAATACTATAATTTATATATATCTGTCTATATATATATATATATATATATATATATATCTGTCTTTTATGATGCTTATAAAGTTGTTGTGGCTATAAAAACATGAAATTGTCGATTTCAGTTGCCATTGATGGCTCGCTCCATCGCTCATCCGTAATAATTTGCGTTTTATGACACTCGCATTAAACAAAAGGCAAATTTTGATGGAAAACGATTAACGTTTCACTTAAGTTGTGCAGTTATATATAGCTTATATACTTCGATCTGATATCAGTTGGAAATGTTGCAGCTACAGCTTGAGGCGGATAAATTATGCGAACTTTGAGCTCTTGATTAGATTATGAAAATGAGTTCTATTTCATTAAACAATTAAAAACTCAAGACAAGCGCTGCCAACTTGATTCAAAGTGGTGCTGTCAACATATTCAATTTATAGTTACAATTCCCCTGTTGCTTACTTGTTTGTGTGTGGCTTTAATGATTACAATTTAATTTAAGTAAAACATAAAAACCAGCTAAAGTTATCGAAAAAAGGCACAAACTCATTTTTAGTGGGTCGTACTTCATTCGCATTGGTCGTTTATAGAGCAACCATATAAAATGGCCATAGATCAATTTATTGAAAAAGTAGACCACAGCAAACATGGCCGCCAAACAAACGGGTCAGCCAACAGCTCGGCCCATATTCTGACCTCCTTCCTGCTGGCGCGCTCTCTGGCTGTCGCCACTTGTTGCGGCACGTTGACGCCATCTGGCGGCGATAATAAACGATTGCAATGGAGCATGAGAATTTCCGTCAGCGCTCACTCCTCTAAAACAATAAATGTCATATGGCTGGCACATCAACACTTTATGTGTCGCCTTGCCATATGCCATGCGCCACGCCCATGCCGTGGCGTACAGCCTGCAGGGTGGCAAGTTTCTCTGTCGACGACACACACACACACACAGAAACAAATGAAAATCTTGCACGCTTTTAATTTCGCCTGGAAGTATGCAGCAAATGTGAGAGAAGGAGAGAAAGAGGCTGTGAGGGGCGGGTAGGGGTAGCTAGAGGATGCGAGTGGGTGGGCGTTTTGTGTGTCACAATTTTATGAGCGCAAGCAAAATGAAATAAAAATTATTGCCAAAAACGAAAATAAAGGATGAGACCGAGCACATAAACAAAGCGCCATAGAAAACACCCTCCAGCACGACTAGCCTGATATCCAGCCTCTGGTATCCTCTCATGCCTGATATCCTGCCTCTGGCCTCTGGCCTCCTCCCATGCCAGTGCTACATGCTCGTCACTCACTTGGAATTTTTGCGTAATTTATATTTTGGCTGCTGTGCTTAGTGACGTCAGTTTTTGGGGTTCTCGGCCTGAGGGTTGGCGCGTTGGGCTTCCTTCTATTGCCCGGCTCCAGATTCTGTGGGCAGGTCTGGTGGTTCGCTCTGGCATTTTCTGCTTTGTAGTTTATGGCTTCAATTTGCCCAAATGAGTCGTTAATTTTGACTTTTCATGTGACACCCGCAACCCACCCGCAGCCGAGGGCACATTGCCTTGGCGACCAACGATCCTGACCAGAGAGACCCGACCCTCGGCTAAGTTAGTTTCCCAGCCACTTTTATTGTAATTTTGTGGCCTTTAATTGAATTTTATTAGCATTTGTACTTATTATTTGCTCTCGCTTTCCCTTGCCTCGCCTCGCCTCGCCCTCTCGCCATGCTCATTTAATCGTATACTTTATTTCCTTAGCCGTTTTCTGGGGTTGGCGCTTCTAGTTGTTGTGGTAGAGGTCCTCTGGCCCTTTGTGCTAATAGAATATGCTATTTGTTTTGGATGAGCAATTTCGTGTGGGCCAGACACCAGCCACTAGCCACTAGACACTAGATGAAAAAGGCATCTTGGCATTGTATTTAGTAATTACTATGATTATTTAAGTGCTACTGCGCCCTGAAATATTCCCAAATTTTATTTGACTAACTTTTGTCTTATGTCTTTTATCTCTTTACAGGTAAGTGATTATGAATGGTGATGGAAGTTGCCAAGACAAACCAAGCGTGAAACAGCTCCAAATGTTTGGGTAAGAAATATGCTAAGCTGACTTCATCTCATAGATTTTACGAGATACCTCAGCATATTTAGGTGAAGTCTATTTATAATATATAAATTTATATACTTTAACTTACAGTTTGTTTGTGTGTTAAAATTATGAAATTAATTATCTTCCTTTCTTTAAAGTAGGTGACAACTCTGTTAGAGAGAGACTGAGTCAATTAGGATTAAATTTATATGGCTTGGCATTATCTTGAGTTGGAACTTGTTAGGAAATATAGCCTTACCCTGTATAGATTTACAAAAGGTGGCAACTCTGCTACAAAAAATGTCTTTAGCTTTTACTATTGATCATTAAAACTCAACAAATAATTGGCTTTTTAGAAATGTTCCTGAAAACTTTATATTTGTCAACCCAGAAGTAGGGTTCCTTAAAATCGATGGCAACTCTGGCAAAGCTCTTGCACAATTTGGCAGCGTTAATTAAGTGAAGTTGACAACCCTACGCATACTGTTTTATAGTGTTGGACAACGTCTTTCACACTCTCTAAAAGTGGCCTTAAAGAAGACATTTTGTGAATTCGTTCTCAAATCTTTACTACGAAACATCAAAATGTAACAATATTCATATTTGTAATACTAAGTGTGGAGTGCGGAGTGCAGAGTGACTCAGAAAAGTATGCTAACCGTTTATAAGTATCTACGTAGCTTATCTCTAAATGCGATATCTTTTCGCTTTGATGCGATTCTTGCGTTTCTTGCGTGTGGTCAGCTTGATGTATCGGACTTTTCCGCCATTTCCTGCTGGACTGGTCAAGCTCGTGGCTGGAGCGCTTGGTCGCGATCGCTGACGTGGGCGCGGTCGGATGGGCGTAGCTTTGGTGGGCCGTGGATAACTATTGTATGCAGCGCTGGGCGTGGCTTGCCAGGCGGAGCTGCCCGTGGGATCGGCGCTGTCATATTCGTTGTACATGCTGCCAGTGTTGCCATATTCGCTGTACCTGTTGTCCGCGTGGCCAGTGTTGCCATACTCACTGTACATGCTGCCATAGTAGGGCCCAAAGTTGTTGCCACTGACCTCATTGAGAAAATCATCGACACTGGGCACCGCACTGAGCGCATTATTGTGTCCGCTAAATGCCGCTGCGCTGTCGTCCTCGCTTTCGCCCAGCTCCGCCCAAGACTTGGCTGCATCCATGTACTGTTCGTTGGGTTCATCTGGCTCGGCGTAGCGTGTGTCCGCCTCGTCCTGGTAATCGTCGAACTGCTCATCACTGTTCGACAGCAGCTGCTGCGGCTTCTGCTTAGGTCTGCTCCGCAGCTTGCTCAAGTGGGTGACCTTCTTGCGCTTGCGTTGTCGGCCCCCGAACTTGGACTGGTATTCGCGCTGTAGGGCAGCCATAAAGTTGCCATTGAGCAGCTCATTGTTCTCGAGTTCCGGTTCCGTTTCAGCCTCTGGCTCCGCTTCCAGTTCCAACTGCTGTTGCAAGCGCTGCCGTTGGGCTGCTGTAATGGATGTTAGCAGCTGTTGCAGCAGTTGCTGCTGCTGCAGCATTGAGTTGCTGCGGCTGCTGCTGCTGCCACTGACGCTGCTGCCAAGCTTCACTGTGGCCGGTGTCGTGGCTGGCAATGCTGCAGTCAACTCTGCCGCCTGCTGCTGGTTGTAGTTATCGAATAGAGCTGGTCCATAGTTCGGCTTCAATGTGGGCATCGACATGGCCATGGGCGTGTCTGCTGTGGCCATTAGCTGCTTTACGCTGGGCGCCATGCCGCCGCTGCCGCTGGCCGTTGTCGTGTAGCCCAGCAGCGAGACATGCGGCTTGCCCACAGGCGGCGCGGCAACAGGCATCAGCGGCTGCGGCGCCGCGACTGGAAGTGGGAAATGCTTGTAGACCTTGTGAAAGTGCGTGTGCTGACGCACAACTTCCGGCATGTGGAGACGTATGTGTACCCTAGGGAAACAGATTAAAGGTAACTTGCTTTCGCTGAACGGAAGAACTATGAAAGCTTTAAAGTTATGGATTCAGATATATATGTTTTCTGTGTGAACTCAGCTTGGGTCTAGATCTGTGTTTTGGGCGATCTGTAAAACTTAGGTAACTATTTTGCAGCTTTACTCGGAATTTCCAATCTTGCAGCTTTTAGAGTCACTTTTACAGTTTGAGAGCGACTCGTAGTAATTTACCTACAATCAAACAATTGCTTTGATCTCACTAATTTGTATCTGACGATCAAATCCAACTGTCAAAAGTCACCTAATTCGAAAATCGCTCTATAAAAGTGAGTAAAAGATGAAGACATCTGCTTCCTTTCATCCCCTTCTTTATCTATCGTTAGCTTCCCCAAAAGATGGACTGGCTTCTTAACTAGTTCACAGTCACAGTCACAGTTTAACGGTCACTGCTACTCCGTCTTGTGAACAGTTTTAAAGCCAACTAAAGATAACAAAGTCACGAAACCTCTTTGACACTCGATAGCTGTCTCTAGTGATTGACAGCTCTGTTTTCTGCCTGTAGAGAGTATGGCGTAGTTAGTTACGCTTCAACTACATTTTCTCTTTTTCTCTGTTTCGTGTCCTTACCGCTCGCCGCTGTTGCCTGCCGCTGCGTTACCTTCCAGCCAGGCCACAATGAGCCACAATATGGCAAACGATATGGGCGCGGGCATGACAGAAGTCCTAGCTGCTCAGGGTCCTGCCGAACTGCTGCTGCTGTTGTTTAATCCTGGCGTTTGGACGCCTTTAAAGCTGGACAACTTCTGACAAAGGCCGCTGCGTAGTCGCCCACTTTTATTGGCTTTCGCGAGAGAAAAACAAAAACGAAAGAAATGGCAAAGCAAACGGCGCACAGATCACATTTCGTTAGTGGAGTGGGTGGGCGTAGGGGGCGGTATTTGGTCGAAGGCCAAGAGGATTGAGGGGGCATCTTCAGCTGCACCTCACGTTTCCAGCTGCTGCACTTTTTTGAATGCAATTTTCCATTTTACTTCGGTGCGTTCGTCTATACGCGGCATCAACTATTTTTCCTTATGCCTTGTGTCATTCGATAGCATCGAGCCAAGTCCCCCTACGCCTGCAGCCCCTTTGGAGCCATTGAAAACGCATGCGTAACGATTTCAATTTCATTTCCAAAGTAACGCAGTTCATTTTCCTCTCTGCTGCTGCTGCTTTTCTTCACTTCTTTTTATTGTTTTTGCTGGAGTCTTGCGTTCCAATTGGTGCTCAGCTGTCGACTCCGTAGATGCCATAAAAGTGAATAAACTCAAGAGATGAAACCCAAAGAGAAGTCCAAACCAAAGACCTTGACAATAATGGCGAATGGCAGGCAGCGAAGAAGACGAATTGAGAAAGGTCAACAATGGAGCCGGAAATTGTAGGAAAAGCTTGACGATGCTTTTGCAGGTTATATGGTTTGACAAGCGAATAAAAAGTATAGAAACGACCAAAATGTAAAAGCTGATTTAGGCAACTCTTCCTTCCCATCTCCTTCATATACTCTTCTATAATAATCTACGCATATCTTTAAAGAGTCTGGTCTGATTGTAAAATCTCTCAAGGTTCGTTCCAGCTTTGACTGTGGGAAACTTTAGTTGTGACAGTTTTTTGCATGAGCCAGCTAGTATATCCAATAAGTACTATTTGTCTGCCATTCACAATTATCCTCGATTGTGTTTAACAAATTTTATATCAATTTCGATTGGCATAGAACAGCTCAAGCTCCTTGCATAACCTTTCACAGCGTTCAGACAGCATATAAACAGCTTCTTTCAGCTTACCTAACCTTGGTTAAGTGCCAAAAAATAGCTTGAAAACAGCCACAAAAAAAAATAAAGGGAAAAAGAACGAATTTTCATGCGCTTTTCCAAGTCACTAAACAGCAAAGTGTAAGCGGAAAATCAGAAGCGGCGTAGGGGCAAGGTGCAAATTGTCTGCAAGCAACGCATTCCTGGTAACAGCCACGATAAGGAAACGTCTGTTCAAGGTTGGTTTTTACTTTGCTGATTTTCCCCGAAAAAGAAAAGTAAGAAAAAGTAATGCGACGAATGAAAGTGTTTTTCTTTGGCCAAGGATAACCACAAGCAACGCTAAAGAAAACTTTAAAGATGGCGTTGGCATTGAAATGGAGTGGAAAAGGGTTTTCCCGCAAATGGAACTGCTTGGGAAATTGTTCACTAAAACGAAACCTAAACGTTCCAATGGCTTTTTCCTCTTATATGATGATGACGAGGATGATGATGATGTTGTTGTTACCAGAGCTATAATAATAAAAATCGTAATGATAATGATAATAATATTGCGTGAAAAATATGCTTACAACAGCAAGAAGAAGACGCAGAAGCAGCGTAAAGAGAACATATACACCGTTAAATGCCAGCTTGTTGCTTCTTATGCTTACCTTTTTCTCGGTGCAAGCAGCTTGCCAGACGTGACACGAAGCAGATAAAAGAGGAAGCAGAGGACGGAGTTGCGGCAGAAGGGGTGGAGAAAATGTGCTTCGGCCAGATGGTAGCGAGTGCGAAGGCAGAAGCGTAAAGATTAACAAGTCATGATTATTAGAGCTGATGTTGTCGCGGAGAGAGGTAGCAGGGGTAAAAAAGAAAAAAGTAGAAAAGAGTTGAAGCAGAATGTGTTGAAAATGATTATAAAGTTACGAGCGAGTTGATTGGCTGCCTACCTCAGGCTGACCTCTAATTTCAAGTGGTTTTCCACTCAACATGTCTCCCTGGTCACGTAAACATGTATCTATGCATGTTGCGTGCACAACATTTGACCCGTACAGAGTAAATGTAGTTTGTTGCTTGCAGCATGTTTCTCACACAACGACACGCAACATTTTCGGTTGGCAACATAAGCAATTGCAACATCTCACGCTATACGCACAAGTAAGTGCATGTTGTCAACATGTTGCCAAGCTGACCTTGGCCTAGGCAGTCAAACTCAGAGCAGCCAGAGCAGAAAGCAGTTGATCATGCGCTCTCGTCCATTCGCTCTGTCAACATGTTGCCTGGGCAACTAGTTCAAGCTCATGTTAATGACTCTTCTTCAAGTGTAGTTGTTGATGTTGCCGCTCTCTAGCTCTGGGTCATTGTCTTGTGTCGGGTCTCTGTGTGCGTGTGTAAATCTACGCTCATGTAAAGCTTGAGCTTGTTGTTGTCTTGCGTTTCAGTTATTGTTGTCTTCTTCCATTTATTTTTATTTAGCAAGCTCATTGCTCGATGTCGCACCGTCTCGCTCTGTTGTTGTTTCGTTACGCATTTGCGTTCAGTTTATAATTGTTGTTTATTTTAGCATTTGGCTTTTACCATTATTTTAAATGCTTTTATTGCGCCTCATCATCATCGTAATGTTTAATGTTAAATGCTAATGTTAATGTTGTTGCTAATGGTCATCATCAGTTACGCCCCTGGGTCATTGGCATCTGCCGGTCAGTTGGTTGCTCTTACTTAAGTCGACTTCCCTTTCGCTCTCTCGGTGTCTCTGGCTCTGTCTCTTCTCTCATACGCCCTTTAATTGCAATCGTGAAAGGCAAGCGCGCAGCCTGTTAGCCAGATTACCGGCCAGCAATTGTGTATAAGAGTCGTGTATACCCTGTAAGCGATTTAATGAAGTGGATGATCTATGTTTTTTTCTCGCAATGTATAATAAAAATTGGCTTATATATTTTACTTATATTGAGCTTGAATTGTTTTTTTAGACAGGGTATCTCATAGCCATTGATTAGTCGCGAACGTTTTTTATGTGTATTATTTTGATGATGTCACGTTGGGTGTAGCTGACAATGTTTCCTATGGCTTCCTGTCTTTACCAACTTGTTGCTATTGTTCTTCTACATGTTGCGGTGCTGTTGTTGTTGGTATTTCGTATTACATTTGTTGCTGTTCTTGTTGCTGTCATGTCCGGCGGCAAAAGTTTGTTCCCCACTCTCTTCGTGTGCTTGTTGCTGTTGACCAATTATTTTCTACAGGCCATTGGGAAAATGCCTACAGAGATTCTTTGGGGTCTACAAGCTGTTCTCTTTATTGTTGTTGTCATTGCCGAGTTATTAGCCATCATTAAAAGAATACCGTTACACATAATCATTTAACAGTAAGCGAACAACAACAAGCACAGCTCTAGCACATTTTTTGCTCTTGTTGGAATTGCTGTTATTCTTTTCCTTCCTCTGCTTTCCCTCCGCTCAAAGTTTTTTTTAATGGAAACAATTTGCATCGGCAAAGCCAGATGAAAAACAGGACAAATAAAGTTGAAGAATTAAACTTTTCTACTTGAGTAATTACTATCGATAGCTATGAATTTTGCAGCTGCATTTTACCGCAGAGATTTTGCTTTGGAAAAAGTTTTACTTTAATGAAAAAGTTCTTAAAACAATTCTCTTACATTACGCGTACAATATAAAAGTCTGAACAATATTTTAGTTGAGTTTTAATGGATGCATAGTCAATTTGCATTTGTTCTTAATTCGTAAAAATAATCTTAGTTAGCTTTTAACGTATTTTTTCATAGCTCTAAGCCATTTTCTTTTGAGTTCTATGTGAAACTTTCACCTCCTTTATAACAGTGTGGCACGTTTGGCCTGCAAAACTCTGCTACTCTCGCAGCAACTGGCATTGCAACGGCTACAATTTGGTTTTGTAATTTTGTTTGTGTGCTTCCTGGTTCGGCGACTCCGCTGAGATTTGCAATGCCAAACAGGCATGGCCCAGACATGATCTCCATAAATACATTCAAATGCTCGTATATCTCAGAGACTGGTTGTAGTTGCTGGACCTGAGTTCTTTTAAATGATGTCAGCTAACAAGAGTTTAGTTTTTATTTTTTGTTTCTTTCTGGTTTTAGTTGCCAGATTCTGGTTTTTCCATAGCTCAGTTATTTTCTTTTTGAGTGAGCGACCAGTGTTTGTCTGGGCGTTCCATTCCACTCATTCCACACTATCTCAATCCGAAATCGACCATATTAATACGATTAGCATTTTGATTGGCGATTATTAATATCGCTTTGATTTGCCTTTTACCATTTGCCATTTGTTGTGGCAAGTTCATTGAACGAATGAAGAAATCATTTGCCATTTAATAAACGACGCTTCTTCGTATTGGCGCTCTATTACTTCTATTCCCTGGCCACACACTCCACGGGCCGCACTCTAATGACTTCCCAAAGCTGATTCGATTCGCTTCGATTCAAGTGACCCAACGCGAACCGCGTCGGACGTGCGTGCGTGCCACTAATGTGAATTTGATTAATTTAATTAATAATATACAAATTTATGGCTATCTATCGAGCCTGTATATAGAAATTATACTAATCGTTCAGCTCGAACACAAAGGAAGAGAAAGAGTATTATTCATTTCGCTAGCGCCCCCAGCCAATTGTTTACCCGAGTGTTAAACTGTTGACATACTCTCATAGATAATGCCATGACCTCATCATAGAGAAGAATAGAATACGCTTATGGTCGGAGAAATGTTTACGTTTGTGGACACATAAAGCCGGTTACGTCAGTCACTTTGGTGCGTGGGTATTATGTGAATTTCGATGAAGCCAACCGACTCTGATTATGTATTTTATGTTTTATTTAGATTTTAAACTATATGCAACTTGCCTAGACGTAAGGTTCTTATATTCTAATATTTGTTCTTCATCTTTTTGTCTTCTCCCTTGCACTGCATTC